CATTATCCCAGTACAGCCATATAGGGTTTTTGCAATATTCTATCTCTAGTGCATCATGTCTTTGCCCAGGGAATGATATTTTTGATAAAACTTGTAAATAATGTGAACATGTTGCAAAGCATTCGTCCGTTGACAGTGAATCTTGGTAAAATCTGAATGACGTCAAAATTTTCATTAGTAGCAACAAATATAATCTTAAATTAAGCTATACAGCCACACATTCTTGTGTCCTTGGATGCCTCATGTTTTGAAATCATACTTCTGACTATAGTTTTTATTGAAACTACCAGAACACTGATGTCCTGACTTGTGAAAAAGCAAAAAATATTAGAGTTTCAATTAATTTTCATTTGAGAGGTTAATCAACTTGTTGAAGTTAATTTTTAGTATTTTCCTTACAAGTGTCAAAAGAAGTAGAAGCATGGAAGGAAAAGTTCCATATTTTGTTTAATCGATTGGTCCAACTATTTAACTTGAAGGAGATAATGCTGAATTGTTGTTATTTGTGTATCTGAGTTTCTTGAAATGCGGAGTTGAATCAGTTTCCCAAATTATTCATGCCTCATATGGACCCATGAATGTTTATATCGACTACTTTATCTTTGCTTAACTGACTTGCTTATTCTTATTTATTCCATCTTTTATTTAGTTGAAATCAGGGTTCTGGAGTTTCATTAACCTTTTGTCGATGCAAAGAAAAGCTAACATTTTCTTTTTCTTTCTCGGCACTTACTCAACAGCAAATAGTTCAGCTTGATCTGTCATCTTCATGGGCATTTGGGGTGAATTGGTCGCCAAGTGGCAATACTTTGGCTTACGTAGGTAAGAAATATTTCTATCTATTTGTCATGTCCAAAGATAAAGTTTGTGGCATGGTATTTATTGTCATGTCCGGTTAAACTACCAATGTTGTATTGAGTTGGTTAATTGTTTGTTTAGTTTATAGTTGAGGGAAATTTTGTTGGAAAGAAATCCAACTTTAATTTTAATTTTTGGTTGGGGAACAGGCCTCATTGCATGAAACCTCTAAACTAAGTTGGTTACGCAAAAATTTCGATATAACTTCATAAACCCCTAACTACCTTTTTGGGGGAACACTTATTTTGGATCTTAGATCTGCTTGTAAAAGTTTCCTTCTTAACCACCATTTATCTATTTACAGGTCATAATTCTATGATTTACTTTGTTGATGATGTTGGTCCTTCCCCTTTGGCCCAGAATGTTGCATTCCGCTATTTGCCTCTTCGTGATGTGGGTCAGCGTTCACTCTTGTTAACTGCTTTTGTTTCCCTTTATTTTGAGCCTAATCATAAACAATATTTTAATCTTGATTTTTATGCAATAACATGAATTTCCATCAGGTCCTATTTTTTTCTGAGAAACTGGTCATAGGCGTGGGATTTGATTGCAATCCAATGGTTTTTGCAGCAGATAAATCGGGGTTATGGTATGTACGATTCTTTGTCATTTTAATTTTCTAGACCTGCTTCATTATATCAATAATGTTTTTGGTCTTGTTTTCTAGGATCTTTATCAGATTCTTAGGTGAAAGGAAAGAATCTTCATCAGGTCCAAAATCTGGTTCTCAGGTATTTATATCATAAGACTTTTAACTATTCTCATTCTGTAAGTGTGGAATTTATGGGTGAGGCTGGGGAAGGGGCAAGGGCAGATACTTCTCAGAACAATACAGACAGCTTCCAGGCGTGTTTATTTAGGGAAATAACTTCTTGTCAGGGCTCTTATCGGGAATAAGATCAACTGTTCGTCTATTCACTTGAGTGAATCATTACATTTGTTAAACGTTAGTTTGAGATGTGTCAACTATTTGCTCTCAAACAATAGGCTAGTCAGTAAGATCTTAACAACATCTTCAAAAGAATAATATCAAAGATCATGTTTCCTGGTGTCTCTATGATTACTCTAGTCATTCTCATTTAATAGCGATTCTCATTGCAGTGGTGAAAACACGAGTTTTTTTAAACTTTAGTATGTTTCTGAATTTGGTTTTAGAAGAAGTGGAGGTGAAAAACCATCAAGATCAAGGTGTCTCATTATTCACTTTGGCTATTCTTAGTTTTAATCATCCAACTTACAGCCAAGGGGGCTGTAGGGCGATAAGTCTAACCTTAACATAAGACCGTATCCAATTGCCCACTTTGCTGAAATGACATAACACAACCTAACATTTCCCCTTACTTGTAGGATTGTAGGTTCAATACTAACAGTTGAATGGGCTTAACAAGTCAAACAAATAAGGGGCAACAAAGAATGTGAATGATAAGAAACATAAAAAACCTTGGTTGTAAATTTTAGGACAATAATCCATCCTGAAACAGAATTGCCAATAGGTGGAGAGACCCTTATGGTGAGTAAAAAGACCCCACATGGAGTATTGGCAGTGTGCACGGGACCCGAGTCCGGCTGTGCACCTATTGCTTTTGATTTAGATGTTCATCTCCAATTTCTCATAAATTATTTTGATTCCATTTGCAGGAGATATCCTGCGGCTATACTTATAGATTCTCTGTTATTTTCTTGAGATGTTTGGTACAGCAAAAGAGACTGAATCCAGAAAATCTCTCTCAAAACTTTACCATATCAATATTCAAATGAACATACGTATATATCTCTAGTATTGCAGCTTGAAATAATATGGAAATCCAAGTATTTTACACTTTGGTGCCAAAATTGTGAATTGAAAATGAACCATCTTCGATAACATGCGGAAAGGATCTAACTTATATTATTTCCGTGGCTTATTTTCCCTTGTGCAATCACGGACACCATTTCTTGAAGTCTACACGAGTACATGAATTAATATCATTTGAACATTATTTACCATTGCATTAAAGTCTGTCACAATTTTTATGTTCAGCTGTCTTTTACTTATTCTTCAAACCCCAATATAGCTGTTTTCGTTCCTATTTTTTAGGACACTATTGGTTCTTGGCATTGAAAAATAAGAAAATGAAGTTGCTGTGAGCACCCTTTTGCCCTAATGGCACCTTGTCCTCTCAAGAATACTGGGAAAAATTCTAAGCCTAGGATTTGGAGCCAAATCATTTTAATCTTTTTTATTTCTTTCTTTCATGGTAGGAAGAGAAGGGTGTTATAGAAGATGTGGAAAATGATGGGGAATGGTTATATTCCGTTTTATTGGCTACTTCTATGACTACAGTAGACTGAAGTTAATTAAATATAAAGGTTGGGTGGGTGGTGTTGTAGTAGTTACGGAAGGCATGAAGAGATGGTTGGATTCCATTATTTGAAACATTTTTATAGCTTCAAGAGAATGGAGGTGGCTGATATGTGGAGCTACTTGAGATCTTTGAAAGAATCCAATGCATCAAACTTTTACACTTCTTTAATTGAAAACCCTAGCGTCTATTGTTTATACATCCCATTCCTCTGGAACTCGCTGGTAATTTAATGTTTTTGACGAATAATTTTGGTTAAACTTTTGCATTTTGTCATTTCTTTTCAGTTTTCTGAAGCATTTGGCAAATTTTATGGTCAATCAAGACAGGGATTGAGCAATGACACAGTTGAACCTTCTAAGATTCAGGGAGCTGCTCATGACAACTGCATCAAGTACACTTCTCTGCCCATTTTGTATTGTTGAATATGATATACATTTTCTCCGAAAGAAAAAGGAATTCCCACTTAGTTCTGAATATGGAGTGGATAGTTGATGCAAACATTTTCTCTTGTTGGAACTGCAGTTGTATTGAACTTCTAAAACAAAATTCGAAAACAAAAACAAAGCGCTTCAGCACCTCGGGTGGGTTTCGCTGCTTTTGCTATTTAGAAACTGTAGACTTTCAGGACTTGGAATAATCTCAGTCGGGAGATTTTGGACTCATATTTTCTCCTTATTCTGCTATTCAAAATATTACAGGAATGGACGGGAAAGTGGTAATTTGGGATCTGGAAAACCAGCAAGACCTTATGGAGTATCTCTAAGAAGTGTTCCGTGAATCTTTTTCTCTCGTTTGGTCAGGTAACAGAATGACAATAATATTGAAGCATGTGGAATATATATATATATATATATGTTGTGTGTTGATGATATTTCATCTGACTGAAATCTTAGATTTAATACATTATTAGATTTCTTTTTTTATGTTTGATTCAGTGCAGCGGGATATTATATTAGTTCAGAACTCCGCGATGCATATTATGTTTGTGCTTTTCAACAAGTTTTGTTTGTGGATTGTGAAGACGGCTACATCAATGGCCGGAATAGGTGAACGGTCGGTGGACGGTGGCTGTAAGTTAATAAGAGGTTAGGGTTTAGTCACAGACGGGCACAATATATTATGGCGAACTTTAAAATTTTAGGGTAAATTATGCATTTAATATCTAAACTATCAGTTTTGGTCCATTTTAGTATCTAAACTTTCAATTTTTAACGGCGGATATTAAAATGAAACAAAAACTAAACTTTATGTATGATTTTTAAAAAAATGAAAATTTAGGTACTAAAACGAATCAAGTTTAGGTACTAAACACGTAATTTACCCAAAATGTTAAGAGGGACGAAATTATAAAATTCTAGGACGGAATGAAAACCGGTTATCAATAAGAAAAAGAAAAATCTAAAATATATGAAAACTAATTATCAAAAAAAAAATTTAAAATATATGAAGAAAATATCCTTCATCTTTACTTTCCTTTTGTTGTCACTTATATTTATATTTTGGTTGGAAACAAGGCGGTCAAGTTATAAGCTTTCGAGTGTAATCCGAAGTTGTTCTTTGAACAAAAAAAAATACTCTTTCCTATTTCTAATTAACTGGAAAAAAAAATTAAATTCTTAAAGAGATTTTTTTTATGATAACTTGACTGTCAAACATCGAATTTCAGGTATATCTTGTGAAAAAAGCAAACACAATGAAAAAGCACCAATAAGTGAACCGAAGGATTTCAATTTGTCCGATACATCGAGTTCGACATATCAAATCAGTGCACCAAACTCTAATATATGATGGTCAGAAGTGTCAACAGCTTGTTACGAACCTGTTCAGTAAGAAGGGAGCGGTAAGGTGAAAAGAATGTAAAAGAAAAAGTGATGTAGAATTATAGAAGCGGAAAGTAAAAGGTTGATAGTAACTCACATAGAAGGCACAAAACAAAACAATAATCATACTTGCAATATGTATAGCGGTTGCATATATATGAACAGGATCAAACATCATTGACACCTGCCTTTTGGGGCCAATGAGGAATGTTGTGCTGCAATACAAGACCCCAGCTTAACATCTAAAATAAAGCACATTATCCACAAAGAAAGATTATGAAAGAAATCGAGCAGCTTTGACAAGGGGCTATGAACACCAAAAGGTTGCATAAGATATTACCGGGGAATGGAATCCTCATTCCCCGTTTGGTTGGCCGGTAATCTTATTCCCGGTAATTTTTATAACTAACAATGGATTTTTTTGGGTATATTAACGGGAATGTAATTATCCACATTCCCTTAGGTATTGTTGGATTGCCAGCGTTTTGGACTAAAATGCCCTTAAATTTTTTTTCTTCAAATTATCCTTCTTCTATCGTTGAATAATAAAAATTCTATAAAGGTTAAATTATAAATCTATCCTTAAACTATTTTAGATTTACAAAAAAGTTCATAATTAGAATTTTATATAAAGTTCAGGGGTTAAAATAAAATTTTACCCTTTCATTAAACCTATTTATCTTTTCAATTTTGTAAAAAAATTATATAAATTTTATGAATTTAAAATTTTTAAAGAAATATATAAATTAATTATAGTAATATTATAATATAATTCAACTTGTTAAAAAAAAAATATAATAAGGACAATTTGGTAACATATACATTCCAATAATCTTTTATTCATTTAACTAAACACGGTAATCTTACATTCCTACTAAACCAACCAAATACAAAATACAACATTCTCAGTAATTCTATTCCCAGGTAATCTTTTATTCCATGGTAATCTTTTATTCCCACTGGTAATCTTACATCCCGTGAACCAAACGCACCCTTAGGTATAAACAAGCAACAAAGAAGTAGGTCATCTGTAAAAAGTTCAAAAACGACATTATATCTCAATATAGAGATTTATGAATAAGAATAACAAATTTTTACATAAGGGGCACAAGTTACTAAAGTTTAGAGAACTATAGTCTGGCTCAGCACAGAACCAGCAGAACTTCATTACATACATGTACCCATGATCAAGAAGCTCAGCATGAGGTCACAATTCAACTTTGTTAAATTTAGTATTAAGATCCTTCACTCAAGTAATACTAATAATAAAAGATCAACTTAAAATCAATAGAATGTAGGCTCTTTCTCACACACACATAAATGCACAAACAATTAAACCTGTGACTAAATGCACTTGCAGAAACACAAAAAAGAATAATTGCATGCTAGAGTTTAACTAACAAAAACCTTCCAAGTGCAAGCAAATTTCCAAATGTAAATGTGATTCCAAACTTGATTGTATGGAAGAAAACAAGGATCGACTGTGAGATAAACAAGAAAAAAAAGGAGAAATTAGATTGTTATATTCAACATCAGATTCAATGCAGTAGAGTGAAGCAAGATAATAGCTACATAAAGAAACATAACAATATTATAGGGAAACTATCTTATCTTAGCAGTGGAGCTGAGATAACTAAATTTCCAAACTTCTGATTAAGGAATATACACATAAAAATTGATGCAACAGCCAAGAATACATCAACCAAACATTAAAGAGGTTCCACAGACAAGAACTCATAATTCTCAGAGAGCTTCAAAATATAAATATCTTGGAGAGGAATGAATATATATATTCATAGCTACCAACCCAACTTTCTGAATAGTATAAGCTTTTAGTAGGTTTATTGTCGACGAATTTTAGAGCTTTTAAAATGAAACACTTATATGGAAAACAATGTGAACAATATATACATATATATATATATATAAACAAGCAAAAAGGAAGGGTTGACAAACAAAACCAAATTTTTCGAAGAACGAGCAAAAAGGAAGCTGAGGCAACTCTAATCAATCTTACTCAACACTAGCTGTTAATTTGGATATATATCTATGGAATGAAAAAAATTACAAAAATTGTATCAATTTACAAAGAATATTGGGAAGGGTTGACATCATCTACGAATGATGTAACCATCAATGAAAACTCCTCATCATCGCCGCATGAAATCTCCTCCACCATAGCATCAGCAACCGGGGGAATTTGAGGACAGTCCGATGTGGTCGGATCAGCAGATAAATCGTCAGTGAAATAAGAGGTACCGCCATCAGCAGCTTCTGGGACAGAGACAGGGGAAGGAGAGTCGTCGTCGTCAGTCCAATCGTCCTCTTTGAATGGTGCACCATATTGAGCACCATTTTTTGGGCCCTTACCATCCTTGTTGAATAGGACACAGAGCACGTAACCGTCGTCTTTCTCCTTGAGCCTGTACTCGTGGATCAGCCAATCTGTTCTCTCGCCTCGTGGTGCTTTCCCTCGATGGAAAACCAGAGTCTTAATTGAACCCACAGCCTCCCTGTTTTGCTTCACAAGCCTATCCCTCCCTGTAGTTTTCCAATAACCGTCTGTAGTTGCACGATTGAACCTGGTCCCTTTCTTCTCAACAGGGCAATAGAAGAACCACTTCAAATCCCCAGTCTTCAAACAAGAGAGATCGGGTAAGCCCCAAGGAGCATATTTGTATATATCTACTTCGGCAATGGCACTGAAGGATATCTTCTTCCCCATTACTTTTCTCTTCAAATAGTACATGACCAACTCGACATCCGTAGGATGAAATCGGAACCCCGGCGGCAATGAGTTCTTCCCCATAGCCGAATCCCCGAATTGAAGTCCGAATCAAATGATGCAAATAGCCCAAGTCCAAATGGCTAAAAGAGGTGTTTTGAGAATAATTGCAGAGCCTCCTTCAGTTCATAAAACACAAAAGTGTTTATTCCCAGGCGAGATCGAGAGTCATTCGATGTCGATACAAACCCCTGTTTGAAACAGCTCCTGTGTCATTACAAATTAATATACAACCCCTAATATGGAAAATCAAGGAATTCCAGAAGAAGAAAAAGGTAACAGAGTACTGAATCTGGTAACCTATAGTTATTCAAATACATATAAATCCCTAAACCCCAAATAAAGGAAAACCAAAACAGGAAAGGAGAAATAGATTAAAGCAGAGACCGACGTTAACAACAGTTACGATTCGAATGAACAAAAAGGAACCTTAGAAATCACCTGGAAAAAACAGAGCCGCCGGAGAAAAAAACCGAGCAAGACCGCGAGGGAGACTAAGCAGCCGCCGGAGAAAAGGAGGAAGCACCCACACTAACAGTTGGGGATCGCAAAAACTAGGGGGAGAGACGTTAGAGCGTTGTGGAATGTGAACTGATGGCGTGTTCAAATTTCACACTGAGAAACAACCGAGCAAGACCGCGAGGGAGACTAAGCGGCCGCCGGGGGAAAAGAGAGCCGCCGTAGAAAAGGAGGAAGCACCCACACCGAGAGTAAAAAGAGCGCCGTTCAAAAAAAACGAGGGAGAGAGAGGTTAGATCGTTGTGAAATTTGAACTGATTAGAGCGTGTTTTTCTCTCTTCTTATATAGGTTGTCCCCCAGCTGGGCTCAAACACAGTTGGACCGTTGTAGCATTAGCCGACATATATTATTGGGTAAACTACGAGATTGGTCACTTTTGTTTAAAATTTATATATTTTTTCTCATTAAATTCAAAAACTTAATAGTTGATCACTTTGATTTTTATTTAATTAAAATGTGGTCATGTTCGTTTTTATTTAATTAAGATGTGGTCACTTGCCTTGTCGACTTTTAAATGTCTAGTCACTGAAATTTGAATATAGTGTAGGGATCTATTAATATACCTTGTAAGTAAAACACCAAAATCAGGAAAGGCTACTCTTGTTAGGTCTAATGACCATTTTGCTTGAGCTTTTTTCTCCCAAATTCATGTTCTTTCACGGGCTGAATCTCATCTTGGGCTCATTTTCTGCACTTTTGTTGAATTCTATAAACGCAACCCAATTGAGAGAAAGTCTAGGGGACAGCTGGTGATGGGCATGAGATCAAATTCGATGGGTTTTGACCCGATTTAATCGGGTAAGATTTAAAAAAAAATTGAGGTTGGATCATGTTTTTTTTTAAAGTTATGTTCGGGTCGGATTCAGGTTCATGGTGAAAAATGTTTGACCCGACCCGAAAAATTATAATTTTATCTTATTATTTAGGACTAATTACAATAACACCCATCTATATATTATTTTCTTTCAATTAAATATCTATTTTCATTGAATAGAAATAATATTTTAATAAATATATTATTTTGGGTTGGGTTTAGTTTTTTATCTAAAAAAATCAAATCAACTTAGGATCAAATGGAAGGGATATATTTTTCGGATCGAGTTCGAGATTTAAAATTTTTGGGTCGGGTCAGGTGGACCGAAAATCTGATCCTACCCGACCCATTCCCAACAGCCTAGTTTAAGGCTAAAAAAGGGCGTATAATGGATGTAATAAAAATGTTATGAAAAGTATAATATTTTTTATTGAACGTAATTTAAAATGTTAATTTTTTTTTCTTAACATTTTCGGTTGAACTGAAAATGTTAGCTTTTTCATAAAATTTAACATTTTCGGTTTAACCTAAAATACTATAAAAAATTAATATTTTAGATTGCGTTCAACTGAAAAATGTTATGTTTTTTTATAACATTTGTGGTTACGCTCATTATTTGTCGTTCCTTATTCTTAAATTAAGTTGTCACATAGTAAAATTATCCTCCAATTGATTAAAACTCGAATACTATACGGTAGATGAATATCGTTAGAGCAACGCATGTCGCTGACGTAAGACTAATACATGTTTAAAATAATAATGTAACACATATCATGTATCGAGAATGATGTTACGACGGAACATATTAAAAATAATGACGTAACATTCTTAATTTAACAATAAATATTTATTGTTAATCAATTAATAATTTTTCTCAATCAAATATCATTTTATATTAAAATAAAATATTAAAAATAAAAATTACTATTAAATAGGTACTTTTTTTACATTATACCTATTCAATAATATAGATATCTATTGACGGATAATGATTGTAACTTCTAACATAGTTGTAATTTAAAAATAATAATAATAATTTAAACTTATTTTTAAAATATAAAATATAAAATTACATTTTTCACCCATGACTGGTGTGATAAATTCTAGTTTTGATTTAATTTTAATTTTTACTGCATCTTAGTTGATACGATTTAGGATACAGAAAATTAAATTATAGAATAGCAAAATTTCAGTTAATTTTGCGGCAATTCTTTCTCACTTCTCCGGCCCTTGGGGCCTTCCTTAACGTCAAGCCTCCCCATCTTCACCGTTGCCTGCTGGAAATCAAGGAAACCCTAGCTTCGTTCATGGCGTAACCATTAACGACCGGTCACCGTATACAGCACTTGATCCGAGAAAAGAACCCCATTTTTCATCGTCAACGCGTCGAAGTAATCGTTCTCGAATCTGTTCGGCGTGTCGTCGAAGTATTCTTAATTCATTCTTTGAAGTTTTAAAAATTTAAATTTATTCTTTTAATATAAAACCTTGCATACATTTTTATTTTTAAATTTATTTTTCTGATACATTTTTTATTTTCCATGCAATTAGAGGAGTGTACCGTGGAGGGAGATGAGACGACCTTGTGCTTGCTATTTTATGGGATTTGCCACGCAAATCCCATTATCCTATTTCAGTTGTTTCTAGGCGTATAACTTGAAAACAAATTGAGTAAAATCCATCTGATATTACTTGATTATAGTTTCTTTATGGAAATTATTTGTGATCACCGTTTTTAGGGTTCCATCATTATTTTATTTTATTAAAAATTACATCAGACCCAAAATAATTAAAAAAACTCAAAAAAAAAAAACAGGCCCAGCTAGCCCATAATCCAGTAGAAACCCTAATCTCTTCAACTGCTCCGTCACCGCCACGTGCCCAAGTGTGACTGCTCGGTGCCCACGCGCCCACTCGCGACCCTTCGTTTCCTACGCGCCCGAGCTCTCTCGTGTCCCCGAAGTCAGTAATAAATAACATATAAGATTTTAAAAAAATTATTTAGGATGAATACACATATATTAATAACATAAAAAAATTAACAGATCATGGGCATTAATAAAATTTCATGCAGAACCTTTTTTGTTCATAAAAACGGAATAGATGCAAACGATAACGACTGCAATGAAAACAAACAATAGTATAATTCACCCTAGAAAATGATTTCTCCAAATAAATTTAACCTATCAGAAGCAGATTGAAAAAATTGAAAATTTGAGTACTAAAACAAACCAAAACTAATGGTTAGGTACTAAATGCATAATTTACCCTATAAAATATTATAATTAGAACTTGATGAGAACACAATGTGATTAGTCCATGTAACTTCATTTCGTGGAATTTCATTCACCAATTTTGATGATATAATCGAATTATTTTAGAGTCGGAAAAGAGAACTCACCAAAATAAAAGCAAAACGGAGAGAACAGACGGAATGAAGGTAGTCAATAACCACAAAACGGGACCATAATTTCTTTCTACTTGATCCTCTTTTTTCTTTTATAAAATTAAATGAACTTTGCAGAAATATATACAAAGAACAAGACAACTGCCTTTGGCAGTTTCTTTTTATGTACACGTTGATGAAACCTGCCTTCAAAATACCCCCACATTTCAACCATCGAGAGGAGGAGTCGAGCTCTTTCCGTAGCTTCCGGTCTCATTCTTACACTGTCCAACACTTACCGTCATCCGCACCGACTCTGGATGCATCGGTTGCAAACAAACTTGGCAGGCACTGCCTCGGAATCCTTAGTTCCGGAACACTTAGTGTGCTGCCACACCCCACATACATCGCAAGCCAACATCCTTTCCCCATCATCATCCTCGGCTCCACATTTGCACTCCACAGTCCACCTTTCCATCCCTCTTTCCAACCTGTATTTACTAACCCCGACTTTCCCTGGACATCGCACTCGAAGTCGAGCTGATCCCGTTGACCCTATCAAGAGCTTGACCTGGGTGGAATCCTCTACACCGCCAAAGCCAACCAGCTCTTCAGCTTGTAATCTTCTGAATGCCAAATATACTTCCTGGAAAACCTTCAAGGCTTCGATCTTAAGGTCTGATACAGTTGCTTTTACTGGTAAAACTACTAGTTCAGCAGGTGGATCCGGGGCGACTTCTTTATGTTGATCTGTAAGCTCCAACTTACATGAGATGCAAATTAAATCTCCGTTCCCACTTGATAGCGTCTCGTTCTTGTAATGTTTCACAAATTGCTTGCAGTCGAGGAGCTTCTCGGCTGAGCTGATGGCAAGATTTCTTATTTCATCAGGAGAGCAGATCGACATGGTTTGAGGATGGAGTATGGACTGGTACAAGAATTTAAGATCCTGCTTAAGAATTTCCTCGCATGGAGGACAGTTAGGAACACAAGTATCATTCCCACTGGTTCTTGCAGAGAAATTTCGTGGCTCAAGCCTGTGACAGATGGAAACAACATATTAGAGTATGCACTGTAAGAGATTATACTACAACAGCATTTGGGACAAGTAGAAGGAAAAATAATAATCCCGGGACTAGTAAATTGTTCAGAGACTGAAAATTTCTGATGGCTGCAAGGGCAAAAGAAATGTTTGTATGAACAAGGTATTTAAAGACATCAAATCACATACCTATACTCGAGAGAACCCGAATCAGGATTGCGTCTTGCATTGACAACCCTTCCTTCTGCTGACACTTTCCCAC